AAACAAAACAGAAAGTTTCGCGATATGCTATATATACACACATTGTTGGCAACATAAACATTACTCATTTCCTTCTGAAATGTACACGGTGTCGGAGAAAATTGGTTTATTCATGAAACTTTTTCTGTTTATAATTTTTTTATAAACAATGAGCGACGGCTAAAAGCTTCATATTGTTACTCAGGAAGGTAATCTTAATAACATATGTGAAAAAGAAGCCGATCGGAGGGAGCTCCCCTATTCTGTACATTTACCTAAAACTGTTTTTTTTAAGTAATTACAATTGTTAATATTGTTAATATTGTTTTTCTTTGAAAAATCAATATTATTAATGCGGTTATTCTTATTTTAAGAATTTAATATGTTCGATACTTGCGCTAATTATAGTTTTTCTGAGAGTAGTATTTAGTCATAAGAGACTCTTTCTACAACTGAGAGTTGTTCTGATAAAAATCCTATCAAGTTTATTTCGGTACTATTTCTGTTTATTTTGATTTATAGCTGCGCGCATCTTATGTCTCCGGTAATCTTGCACCCCGGCAAGATTGTTTTATCTCGTGATCAAAAAAGAAAAACTTATTTTGGATTGCGTAGATATTGCGGTGTAAAAGAGAAATCAAATCAGTATTCGAGGTTTTTCTGGTCTAAATCCATCAAATGAAACACGGTACCATGACGGCGATCGTGCTTTATTAGCAAAAACGGACAGATGTGGCAAAATAGTGAGAGGAAGTGGTGTGGAAGTTTGAAGACACGTTACAACAAACTCGAGGAATTTTGCAAGGATTAATAAAACTCGAGAATCGTGTTGCAAAATTTCGTCCAAATCATTCTTATGCAGCGAAGACTTGAAAAAAGCTCTCTATGATTCATGGAACCATCTGATTGACTAATGGCTTGAGAACTGTGAGCGCAATCCTGATCTCCGGTTTCCTTGCTGATCTCAAACTTGCAGAGCGAGGTAAAGAGGCAAGACTACTTTCCCTGGGAGAAAGTTCCACTAGTGCCGCGACCGTCGCTGGTGCCGGAGCCGTTCACTGTATGGGGTCGCAAGAAGCAAGATCCGCGCAACGAGTTTTATCAGTACGCTACGTTGCCGGACAAGGAAGGGATAGTGCGCGGCAAGAACGCCGCCAAAGAAGATCACAACCGTCAGCTGGTAGACGGCGGTGCAGTGTCCAAGGTCGGTCTAGATGCTGCCGCCGAACTGGCCATTCGCGGCCACGTCTTCAAAAAGGGCGTGCTCGCGCGATCCTCCAACAAGGTCAGACATGCCAACACGCCTGCTAGCAGCCACACCAAGATCTTGATGGCTCTTCAGACGCCGTCTTGGTACCGATTCTAATGATGAAAAATAAGAACAAAAAAAAAGAAAGATAAAAACAAAGAAAGAAACGAGAAAATGGAATTAACATTAATATTTAGAATATATATAAATCATTGTCTTTTTTTAGAACAATTAGTTTTCTCTAGAAGGAAGATGTAATGGGAATTATTATACATATATTATAGCTCGTTTTTGATGATGTTAAATAAGAAGTTTTTTTTATGATCATTTATACATATTATGTATAAATGTATTATGTATGTCATATGCTTGACATTACTTTGTGTTTTGATAAATTCACAGAAAAAAATAAATTAGATCATTAGGTTGAGTTGTCACATGTTACTTTTTTTGGAAAATTATAGCGGCTTTCTGTTTTCTTGCAAGATATCTCGAGTAAAAGCTAATTATAAACAATTACATCTTTTTTAGGATTCCTTTTAATGCATTCTGTACACACTCACGTTTCCAAGTCGTTCAAGCAAATCTTACTTGATTTTTGTTAACACGAATCAACGTAATTTACGCATGTTTCTTGTATTCACACATGTATACAACAAAGTTTATAATTAATAAAGTTATAATGTCATTTTACAGAAACTTATTTATTAAGTCTGTTTAATGAAAATCTCTCAAAGAAGAGAGATTAAATAAAATTTTATTCATTTACGAGAAAACAGGATTACAAAAGTAATCTTTTAAAGTTCATTTGTACAGTTCTTATCTGTTTTGATAACCTTTTTGAAACCTTTAATCATTTTTTATTAACCATCTTTCTATAACAAAGAAACTTTGCGAAGTGGAAGATTCTGATTTTGATGAAACTTTGCACACATGTAGAGGAGATCAATAGATGAATATTGACATATTCCGTTGCTGCCCAAAAATGTTTTAAAAGGTAAAATTATCTCTTATATAAGGTAAATGTCTCATTATCCGGATGCTTAAGGAATAGCGGCAAAATATCTACTGATTTAATGTGTAATAATACCATAAAATTAAACAATTTTTGTCTTATTACGAGTTGATACAATCAATTATTAAAAACTAAAACAAGTAACTTTCTGAATACGTTAAATGTATTTATTTTAAGAAAAATACGAAAATGTACAAATGTCCCAGTAAGTGGACAACCTAAAAGTGCATGTCCCGATATCTGAATTATGTTGTTCCAGTAACCGGACAAATAATATATCAATTCTTATGATATGTATGTCAATTCCTATATATTATTCAAGGAAATGTATTAAGATTTTTATGTATTGTAAAATATTGTTTTCTGTTATTATACCTAAAAATTTATTAAATTTGTAGTACTAGAAAGCAATTATTCATAGAAACATATCTTATTTGTCTTCTTATTGATATGACGTTTGCCTAATGATCATTCCATTCTTCACAGCTTTTTTTAAAGTCATCTTGTGTATATTTACTGTTTTTTTCCTTTTTGTCATGCTTGATTTGTAAAAAAATAAAGATATAATTGGATTTTAATTACATGAATCTAAAAATGTTGAGGTTAAGAGTATAAATTTTTATACATTTCATTATATATGTACTTACTTGCTTGTAAGAAATACACACTATTATTATCATCCAGTTGTTATTATTAACATAACAATAAGCTGAAATGTTTACGAAACGTCAGTATAACAATGACACTAACGCGGTTCAAATCCGAAAAATATCTTCGAATGTTAATACACCACGAAAGCGTCAAATATCACACACTATAATTATTTGTTATGCAAAACAATTCTATTTTTGACAAAAATAATTATTTTTATTATAAAAAATGCTTATCTACGCTCAATATTTTAATATACAAAATCGCTTGATAACTAGTACAACGCAGTCATCTACTGGTACACTGAGGAAATTGTTGTACCAGTAGTTGAACTTATAATTTTACACACACAGTAAAAATAATTAATTTTCTTGCAATTTTAAGTATTTTATTAAAATTGAAATGTATATCCCAGGCAACCAGCTGATGTTATAATGACGTTAATATAAAGTCAGTTTTTGACCAGTTCGACGTTAGTTTATGACGTGATATTAACGTAATGACGACGTGAGTTTGTCTCGTCAAAAATGACGACAGGTTAATGACGTTTACTTACGTCATTAATCAGACGTAACGTGATTAACGTGACATCCCACATAGCACGTAATATTACTGCAATATCACATACAATATTGCTTTTCTATTGCAATATTACACTCTAATGTAATAGAAATATTATTGTAATGTTAATGTAATATCACAATAATTTTAAAATGTCCGCCAAAATGCATCACAGTAATATTACAATGATATATAAAAAAAACTAATGGTACATCGTAAGAGGGGAATTAATTTGAGACTTCATTCGAATTAATCTCTCTTTGGAGGTCTGATTCAGTTTGTCGATCAACTAATTAACTCAATGAAAAGTATTAGGTCCGGAAAAAATCCTGAGGGGTGATGGTGAGATTTGAACTCGAGACCTCCATATTCGCAGCCTCTGCACTCAGTCCGCAAGACCACTTGTTCCTTACTTAAAATGTAATTCTTTTTTCTGCTTATTCTCAAGCTATTCCACGCATTTCATTTATTACTTATTTAAATTATTATTTTATTAAAAATATTGCAATGCAATATTTGTAATAAAAAAATAATTTAAATAAGTAATTACAAATGTTGCACTGCAATATGTTTAATAAAATAATAACTTAAATAAATAATAAATTAAAAATATTGCAGTGCAATATTTTTAATAAAATGCCTGCAACAATGGATAAGATTATTTCTCTTATTATTAGTATTATTATTAAATATAATTTAAAATACATTTTTCAGCGAGAACAAATTTTTTGTTAACATGTACTGATTATTAAAGACAATTCTTAATAAATATATACCAAATGATATAGAAGAATATGTACACATAAAAATATATACACATTTATATGTATCAATTTTATTATATAATAATAATTATGTAGTAAAAATGTTATACACAAACAAAGTGTTTTTTGTCGATTACTACATTTTGAAAACAAAGCATTTATGTTTAAAACAAAAATTGTTACGTTTTTACAACAACACGTAGCAAAAGATATATATATATAAAGATATATATATAATAATATATATAAAGATATATATTATATATAAGATACAATACGATGTATGCAACTTGCTAAATAGTAAATAACATTATTGTAATAGTAAATAACATTAAATGACATCTCTAACATTCAAAAGACATAATAAAAACTATTATTGATATTTTATTGCTACTTAAGATGCAATACAATATTACCGTACTATTTCAATATTATATATAAATGTAATATATATAAATAATATATATATATATATATAATATATATAATATATATAATATATGTAAATGTAATATATTGATTATTGTAATGTTGTATTACAATATAATATCTAATATTACTACTATATATTGCACTTGTACTGTGATATTTCCGTAATATTACGTGTTATGTGGGATCTTACATATAATACATAAATATATACTCAAAAACAAATTTGTAACAATTGTGTTATTTAAATGACGTCACTCCAAAGACCAATAGTTACATCATATATGACGTACATACTGACATCATTGTTATGACGTTCAAAATAACGTCAGATTTAGGTCATAATCACTAATTAGTGACAAAAATCACGTATATTTACGTCATTANAACGTCAGCTGGTTGCTTGGGATATTATTGTATTAATACATTATTGTAACATATAAATAACAAATATGTAAAATATTTTCTTAACAAATTTGTGAGATTTCTTAGCAGAAACTTACGAAGTTCTTCAAAACCTGTTATAGATGTAACACATGTTACAAAATAATAATTTATAAGCAATAATTTTCAATGTTATATAATCATTATTTCACTTTATGTTAATAAATTTTTATACTTTACGATAAAAATTTTTGTTTTTAATTATATTAAAAACTGGGATACAAAATGAATAAAATTTGCATTATTGTTCGAATACCGAGACATATCCGGATACTGGGACATTTATCTTAAATACCAACTTTTAACTTTTTCCAATTTATCTCGAAAATTATAGAAGATATCAAAAACTGTTTCATACAAAGTTTTATTTTAAAAGGTTCTCTATTTAACCATATTAATAAATTTAGAAAAACATTATTAAAAAAAAATTTTATAAATTTATAAAATTAAATGTTTTTAAACAATCTTTTTAATGTAAATATATAAAGGTATTCTTACCATAAAACTTTTATATAAAACATTTTTTAATATTTTTAATAGTTTTCGAGATACATCAAGAATATCGCACAGCCGCTTTACAAGAAGAGTGGTTTTGCTCTTTAAAATCAATTTGATCAGCTACTGAAAATTTCTACATTTATTTGTCTATTCATCTATTTCTTGTGTATACAAGAAATATCACGCTGTTTTATGTGTGGCGCACCTGCTATAATACGTTGTTTCTGGTACAAGAAATATTTTTGTACATTGTCTTTTCATTTTGTGAGGAATATTACACAATTGTGAACACTGAAGTATAGAAATTTTTTGTAAGTAATCAATTTTTATTTGGATAAGCATATTTTTTGCTAATGTTTAATAAATATTTTTATAGGATATCCTTTGTCAATATATATAGTGTAATAGTTCTTATAGAAAATATTGTCCATAGAATTAATGCACGACGTCCGCTACAACTTAAAGAATGAATATACTTGTTCAACCAAGCGAGATAATTATAACTTCTTACGAATATAAAAGAATATATTCAAATAAATATTAAAACATACTATTGTATAATATATTTATTATATAAATACTAATAAATTACTAATTGATCGCAAAGCAAAAAATAGCGAATTTGTTTGAAACAATCTTAACAATGTAATTGTGTAGATTATATTGTACCAACAAGATACCTTTGCCAAAATTTTAATATTGAAAATAATAATATACAATATACATATATAGATCACAGATAGTTATTAAATACCTATACAAATAACAAATTTAGAAAGTTTTAAATGTTGATGAACTTCTTACACTATTGTTTAAAAAAAGATAAAGTACATTCAAAAACTAAAAGTATCTATACCCACATAGCACGTAATATTACTGCAATATCACAGTAATATTGTTTTTCGATTGCAATATTACACTCTAATATAGTAGAAATATCATAGTAATA